GGGGACTCGGCCTATTGTGAAGGTAAACAAAAGATTCCAACGCCTGTTCCATTAACCCAGTCAGAAACACAGTATTAAATAAGTGGCTGACAAATGAATTTAATTGCAAAGTTCGGTTTCGTGATGGTGAATATCACAAGGGCCCTTTCTGTGTTCATAAATATGGATTGAAGGTTACAAATGGTGCTGGACCATTCAGATTACCTATCTATGGCCTTACTTGATTCTTGCAGTTGTGCCTTGACACACCATGGTCATTACAGTTCTTAAAATACTGGGGTTTTTTTCAGACAATAGCACCTATTTTCTTAAACGTTTTTTAGAGAAGAACATCTTTATAAGATGCATTAATTTAGGAAGTGGGAATTCTGGTGACATTTGTGAGGGAGGTAAGTGTGGAGGTGTACTGAGGCTTGAGTAGAGAGAAATGATGATCTGCAAACCTTCCTGAAGTACTTCTATGGGCCAGGTACTTTACTGAAATGGTTTTCCTGTGATATAGAAGAGAACTATTTCTTAGAAGTGTGCAGCTGAGGTACTTCTGTTGATGTATCATTCCATCACAGGAACAAATGCAATGGGACATTATTCTCCTTTTTGTTTCTTGGTGTTTTCTGGAGCTTGCTGTTATTTGTAGCTCTGATGTACTTATTAAAAACTAATCTGAAGAGTCAACATATACCACAGCCCTTCCTGCCTTTGCATTGTAGGTCTTTCAATGCCCTAGTATGTCAGGCTGCAATATTTAATCTTTTGGCCATGAGAGGCATTTTTTGAACTACTTTGTAAAAAATATTACCCTAGATTGTTTTTCCAGTAGTACTGGTGATGGAAGGGAGATGGCATTTTTGACAAGGTGTTAAAATATTTTGTAAGAATTGGAAGACAGGATGAAAGACTAAAGAAGATCTGCATGGACTAGGCATAAATGATCCTGCTTCCATGAAAGGACTTTTTAGTATAAGATTGGGACTGATCTAAATAACCCTTTATGAAAATGTTCAGTAAATTGCAACAGTAAATCTTACGGTATTTAATTAATTCTCTACAAATGAAAATTTGAGTGGTCGTATATATGCACTTTCAGTGACTGGGAAAACAGTTTACATATTTCTTTTTAAAGGTAGGCAGCAGGTATACTGTATATAGAGAGGCTTTTGTGTATGAAAAAAAACTGTGAGAAGAGCTGCTTTGTACATACTCAAAAGACTGCTCAGAAGTCAGAAGATGGTAACAAGGCTCTTTATCAGCTATGATACAGAATCCAGTGGTCTTTTTTGAGGTTTTAAATAAAATCAGCACTTAGTGTTTTTATTTACCTAGTAGCAGACTGTCCCTTTTTTCCTCTATGGAAAAATATGTAAGCATCCAGACTCCAGCAATTCTGGAGACGCTGGCAGTGCATTAGTGATAATGGTGGGGAAGGAACAAGCTTTTTGAAGAAATTGCTGGGAATTACAACATATTTGGTCTGTGTTGTGTTATATTTCGGAAGGGCAAATCAAATCCCTGACTTCTGTGCACACGGATGAAAGGTGAGGCACCAGAACAAACACAGCTGCTTTTGCTGCCTGAGACTGTGGGAGAGATGGGAGAGGCGCTTTCTGCATGTTACGAGGTGATAAATTTGCTGGCTAAAGTGTAGCTCTTAGGAGGTAATGTAGAGAAGAGCAGGCCCTTTAGCAGGGGGAACTGCAGACTGACAAATCGATTAGCCAAGAGCTGGCTGCTTTCAGCCCTGTGAAGAGCTTCCTTTCACTCCTCAGAACAGCTTCCTGCAAAATTTCTTTGTCTGCCTCTGTAACCTCATTTCTCTCACCTGTGTGTGTAATCTGCTCAATAGAACTGTTTCCGAGTTGGCTGTGTAACGTCCTCCAGTGTGTGGTGGAGCTGCTAGTTAAATAAATGAGGTCAAGGGCATGTGTCTGAACATACAAGCTGGTAGGACGTTTGTGTACCATGGGGGGGTGGGTTTTATTTGCTGGAGTTCTGGATTTCTATGTGTAAGATTAAATCCGCAAAACACCTGTACAACGAGTGGTAAGCGCAGGAATCCCTTGTGGAAGCAATGAAGATACTGTTCTCAGCCATAGTTCTGAATTTGTCCTTATCATTCCGGAGCCTTTGAATTTAAAAGACAGGTGTAAGATCACTATTTCATTTGACCTGATTTGCATGGGTTAAACTGTTCCATGCTTGAGGTGTGTGCTGGTAAGTAGCACCTCAGTTCAGAGTGCTCCAGGTCATTAACTTGGAGCTTTCTGGATTTCTCATCTCTTCCAGTGTATTTGAAGCACTTGTGCATGCGAATACTAATGTATGGTATAATTTTACTTTACCTGTGTTTTTATTGTTACTTCTGCTCCTTCTTGTTCACACAGTTTTAGCCTGCTAAAACTTACAGCATCATTTTGATCTTGTGAGATGTCTGAAGATTTGTGTGTCTGCTTTGCTTTTTGACATGTATTTGTGTCTTTTTTTAGCATTCTGTGTTCACATTTGCAGTATGGTGGAAAAAATTAAAAAGATGGAACTAGATGATCTGTGAGGTCCCTTAAAGGTCAAACCATTCTGTGATTTTTCTGCTATGTATTTCACAACGAAGAGCGAAAGCAGAATAATTTTCTTTTCGTGTTTAAATTCTTCATTCTTTGCTACCTTCTTAGCTTGAAACATTAACAGCCCTTTTCTACCTGCGAAGTTATGTCTGTGCAAAAGTGATTATTACCTAACAGATGTTGAGCTGTGATTCATTGTCAGAGCTGTTTAGACCTGAAGTGGGGTGAATCTCCCAGTTTGGATGAATGCCGGCCCCTTCTCACTGACGAGAGTGCATGGAACAAGAAAATAAGTATGAACCTTCTGTCCTTCATGCACTATTTTTGCTCCCCAAAACCATCTAGTAAAAGTCATAGAGCAGTCATACTCCACGGTGTCTTGTCACGTTACACAGTGTCACCAGAGAATGTTCCTGTCATAATGGGTACAATACAAGAAAGGATCCATTGACTCAAGTGGACCTCCAAGATTCATATTCTTGTCGTATGACTACTTGGTAGGGTGTGCTTTCCTTGTACACCCAAGTAGGATGACACATGCTCTCTAGGATGTCTTCCAGATGTTGAGGTAAAGAGTCTAAACAAGCTCTGTGAATCTGAGTTGGTCTTCTAGGAACAGGTAGCAAAATTAAGCTATTTTACAAGGCTATGAAAAATCAAAACGCCTTCTCTGGCAGAAGTAGCCTGCTAGGAAGCGGCTAGGACAGGATATCTCTGGTGAGCCTACTTTGCCCTTAAGAGGAGACCAAAGTTCTGAGGCCAGATGTATTCTTGAGAATGCCTTGTATTTGATTTTCTTTCCTTTTCCCCTTCTTTATTGGTAAAGTTGTATGGATTAATAATGACAGGAGAAGATCTGTGAGGAGTATATTTGTGTGATTAAATCGGGCAGCATGATTAGTTTCCTTATATGACTGACCCTCCAGGTCACCTTACTGCTGATATATTGTCCTAAAGAGTTAATGTATGAAATGCCTTAATCCCTCTTCCTATTTTGTTTTGTCCTGATAGAATGCTCTAGAACCACTCCTGCCTTTCAATCAAAAGGAACTTGGCTTAGTCACTCTTTTCCTTCTGTGCTCCAATTACCTTACCTTAATCTGTGGTTAAATTGTTGCTCGTTTCAAAAAGTATCACATAAGCTATGAAATACTGTCCAAATTAAAAAAATATCGTGTAAGGAAGAGTTACAATGATTTTATTGGGATGACAGATTTTGGGGACATGGCATCAAGATGAATGAAAGCCTTGGGAGAAAACTACGTATCTTGATTTAGAGCTCTGCAAGCTGGGTGTCTGTCTTTGAACTTGTAAAGCAAGAGACCCCATTCTTACTTATCTTAGATTTGTAGAACAATCTCACGTCCCAGCACAGGAGTGTTGGTTAACTTCTGTACATAGGCTGTCAAGCTCTCAACCTCAGAGGAGATAAGCCTGAAACCTCAGGATTCTGCTGCTAGTTATTTTAAAAATAAAACCACATTTAATTTCCTTATAATTATGTGTGTTCCAGACACAATAATTGGTCTTACTGCTTTCTCTTTATTTTCCTTTGAACTTGGTGTCAGCTGTAGTCAGGAGATTCTTTACAGAAAGATAGATATGTAAATATGTTGAAAACCTCTGCTCTGAATATGCTCACATTAATGTAGGTTTGGTTGGAAAATGTTTGTCTTCTGTAAGTCATATAGAAAAAGATAATTGCAAAATGCAGTGGAAAAAGGTGGGGTTTTTTTCCATTGTCACAGATGTCAGGAAAAATTAGCCTTTTAAAATGAATGATTTAGTCCCAAATGCAAAGAGCTCACTATCCACATGCTTTAATGAAAAACAAACTTCTGTTTTTAACTTCTGTTGAAAAACACAGAGGGGAAGGAGTGCCTTTGATGATATGGTGGTGTAGCTTCTGTTACGGTTCTGAAGTTGAGAGTGCTTTATAAAGCTTAGCTCCAATGTTTAATCCTTTGACTAATCACATTATGGATGTTAATAGCTGGTTAGTGTGCAGAACTCTTCTGGAGTAGTTTAAGTGTAGAAAGAATACACCTGGTCCTGCATAAGGCCTCCACAGTAGAAGTCTGCTGGCAGTCCACTGAGTTTCCACCGCTGATGTTCTTCTTGCTCTATAAATGAAGTTGAATTTTGTTGGAATTTTCCCCTCCTCCTCTATAGTGATTTCATTGCAGCTGTTCTGATTTCACTGCAATGTGGCTTGGGAGGTGACATGAACATTATGTGATATCATATAAACCTTCTGTGTGGCAGAGATGAATGACTGTGGTTTTGGATGGTGTCCATTGTCTAGACTTGTGGATCACCTTTTCATGAGAGTCCTTCTGTCTCCTGTAGTCACAAAAAGCCTGCCTCTCAGGATGGGCATATTGCCTGCAGCCATTATTCAGTTTACAT